GATTGTGTTTATTGTTAAGTAGTTAGACTGCTATTTTTATGACTAAATCTTGATGTTTAAAGGTTAACTTTTAGACTTATATAATGTATTAATGATTAGGAATTATGTTAGAGGAGAAGCTTGATGTATTTTGCGATATTTCATAGTTAGTTTGTTGGTTTTATAGTGTTTTGCATGGGAATCATAAGGTAAATTGTGTCTGAACTTTGAATGATTTTTGTTTTCTTAAGTGGTGCAAAGTAGTTTTCTAAAATAAATCTTAAGAGCGATTAGTTAATAAATGTTTAGTTTTAAATACCACTGATGGCTCTGCAAAGCCTGTAAATGATAGTGCAATCAGAAAATTTAGAGTAGAGACTAAAAGAAGATTCTTTCGAAGAACTTATTGAATTTTAATTTCTTCGCGGTCGAGCTGTTGTAAGTGAAAACGCTCTTCTTTATGTTAGGTTGTTAGGTTGTTGACATTTTTCAGTTTTGTCGTTTTTCTTCAGTCACTCGTATAATACTTAGAAGTAAGTATTTGGAAGGTTGTTTGATCAGACTCTCTCACGTTTTCTTAATACATTGTTGATTAATTGTTTCCCCAAATTTTATTTGGTGTCAAAGTTGCGTTAAGTCGATGCAATAAATGCGTTTCACAATAACTATCTTAGTCAAATGGTATTTTCTAAAAGGCTTTTACGACAAGGCTTAAGGAATAGTAGAGCAATAATTAATTACTACAAGAATCTAGTCTAAAATCTAAAGTATTTCGAGCTCAACGCGAAGTGAAGTCTGTTCTCCTCTGTTAACTCATCTCTGCAGTTCTTAAGAACATTTCGTTAAATCGATTTATGTCAACTTGATTAATCAACAATCAGACATAAGTCATCAAGCAAATTACTTTTCTCTAATAGTACATTATTACTTTCTACAATCTAAATCATTCTACTTAAGATATCATTACTATTCTATTGACGTCTAGGCCCTTTCTCTGAAGGGCATCTTAACAACTACAGTGTTTCTAGCTACATAAATCTTGTACCATAATTAGTCAACTGACTACTATTAGTCACCAACAATTTCTAATATAGTAGTCAGCAATCATCTCTATTCAAAGCAACCTAACTATATCAAATATAGCTATTTGTATAATCAAACATGGGTGCGTCACTACAGTCGACCAGAGTGCAATGAAAGTAAAATCAAATTTTATCAGAAGTTTTGTAGCTTGATCCATTACATAACGGATGAATACTAACGTCTTTCGGGACTAATTTTAGATATAACGTTTAAAAAATATCTCGAACTAATTGACGATCTTGTGCAGTTTCTCGAATAAGATCAATCGATGTAGTATAAATAATGATTTGCTTCTCTACATCTGTAGATTATTAATATCAGATGTATTCGTAACTGATTTGATTCTAATGTCACTTCGGAGTACAGTAGTTTACATTAGATAACTTATACGAGTACGTTGGTAGAACTTTGTAGTACTGATAAAAGAGTATCAATTATAAATACGCAAGCCAAGTAATAACTAATATGCGATCTTCTGTTGTACTAACGTCGGCTGGTAAATAAATTCTAGAAAATGTAGCTATTTTATCGTGCCTTAATAGGTAGAAAAACTGCTTTCTTGCTAATCTAGAAGAAGAAGATTAGTAAGGTAGTAACAGAAAAGAGTCATTTATATAAAATAAAATGTAATCGCTTTTATTACAAATGTCGCGGTGTGCGTATAATTATGATATAATTAGATAGGGAATTACTTCCGTTACAGTATAGAAAGAGAGGTAGAACATTAACTGGAGGAAATTTCTAGTTCAGATTACCACTATAGTTTTATGCATAATAAAACTCGAAAAATTATATTTATCGATAAAAGTACAATATAGCCATATTGATATGATAGCAATAGATTAGGCTTGCGTAAATTATAAGAAAAGAGTTTGAAATTATATATTATATATACGCGTACGTGCTAAATAAATATCAGTGTCTAAAAATTTTTAGTACTTTCTGTCTAATATTTCGATCAAATTTAAGGTAAACTATTGGATTAATAATAGCTACGCTTACACTAACTGATAGCGAATAAAACGTTAATAAGAAAAGAGGAAAACTTTCCTTGCGTATTTGTGTAGTTGTCTTTCGCGTAAACGACAGGCCAATAGTGTAGCATTAAACGGCCATGTTATGAGGATATAGCATAAGGCAATAGAAATTAATATTTTGTTGAATTTTTGTTTTCGTATATTTTCATTTCTTTGAAATGTACTTTGGCCAGGTCTTACATAATTTCTTTGATGTGATATAATTTTGAAGTAAATTATTGCAATGCCAGTACAAGGTATAATATATTGCGCAGTAACAACGATAATTAATCGAACAGGAATAGTATCGTCGGCGGCGATATCAGGTAAATCGCATAACGTCGGATCTTCGTGAGAGACTTTAATTGCAGGGACTACAGCTCCAGTGTAACTGGCTGATATG